ACAGACCGACACAAAACACAGCTGCACTCTTGCCAGATCAAAAACCGGAACTCGCAGAGAGAGAGAGAGAGAGAGAGAGAGAGGGTGACTGCTCGATTGAAATTATGACATTGTTCTTTTCTTCAAATTGTGATTCCTCCAACTCCAAAACAGGGGAAAAACGATCGTTCATCGAAAAGACATCCGCAATCTTCATTTAGTTTTAGATCTAGATCTAGATCTAGGCTAGCCTCGAAACTAGATCAATGATTTATATCTCTGTCTCTCTAGATCTAGACCTAGGCCATCGATCTAGAAGTACCTAGTTCTACCCAGAGTCAAGAGGGTGCTGAAACTTTCCAAAATCACAAAAGAGTTCCCCTACCGGGTCTGTATGTACTTTGTGACTTTATTCCCGGTTACCGGGTCGGTGATTTTGTAGTTTCGTTCGTTAAAGTCAAGCAGGGGGGTTTCAGGGGGGCTTGCCCCCCTGACCTAAAAAAAATATGGAGGTGGGGGGGTTCAGGGGGGCATGCCCCCCTGAATTTTATCCTAATTTGATGTTTTGCAGTTAGATTGCATCCCTGCTCTTTGTGTAGCCTAATTCAAATAGTATTTGGTCTTCAAGACTTCTGGATTTCTTCTCTGGATGTAAACAAATGGATCGTGGACTTTAACGAACGGAACTACAAGATCACCCGGGTCTGTATACACTCCCAAAAAGCCCTAATATTGGAGAGCATAGTGCTGCATAGCCTATGGTCAACAATACAGTGTTTCATTACCTGCAGAAGGGTTGCCATTCTTAAGTGCAATAGGCACAGCCGCTAGCAAGTGGCCAAAGATACCAATACCGGCGAGTCCGATGCCTGTTGACACTGCAGCGAAGGCTGATGCAACTTTGCGAACTGGATATTTAGGAATGAGATGTTTACGTTCTTTTCTTGGAACAGCAATATTTTTAGGTTGGCGATGTGTTCCAAATTCCTTGACACTAGATCTACTATGCTGAAAATGCAATGCTCTACATGAACTGCGAGGTACTATTTGAGGTGTTTTTAGCACTACGAAGGACCTTCGCAATGCTCTAACGGCCATGTTGTTTACACATTCTTATTTTCAATTTTTCAATTGTCGTAAAAGTTGTAGTAGGCCTAGGTGATATTATTATTTCTATGGGGAGATTACTCATTTTAGTGCCTTAAAATTGGAGAATCCTAAAGTATTGCCAGACATACAATTTATGAGATTCCCTAATTTACAATTAAAATTTAGGCCTAGCTTTAAAATCTTATTCATTCTAAAATTTTGACATTTTTATCGGCGAAATAATGTAAATAATTCGCTTGTCGGAAAAAAGATATATAGATCTAGATCTAGTTCTTGATCTTGCTTGTCTACGATGTGGATGACCCTGGCTTTAACTCCCCGTCCCATAATATGCTATGGAGGTGGAGCAACTTAGTTGTGGAAGATTTTTTTATGGTTCGATTCTGTCTTAGATGTAAAAGGGTATTAAATTCCCCCCCCCCCCCCCCCCTAAGCTCCTTGATAATAGCATAAAGGCAAGGGTAGTTCCGGAATTATGAATACAGGGCAAGGGCTGTTTCCCTTTGGTGTGTAAGTCTAGGAAACGTATAAGGGCATTGGCAGAATCACAAATTGATTTGCCGAATAGCAAACTGTCATCCTATTGTAACAGAACAGCAAGGAGATTAAAAGTAGTTCTAAACTCCTTGCAGAACAGTCAATTTCTGTTTCATCAGAATTTGGGGAAAGATAAGTAACACCCCTTATGCATCCTTTAACTTATACAATTATTTTTTAAATGTGATATTGCGGCATTTTTAAAAATGTTAATCACTAATCATAAACTTCATTGTAATGAACAACATTAACATCTTATTCTAATTTTCTCTCTCCGTAAAAAGTTGTCCTTCAAAGGGAAATCACTCTAAGTCCTCGCTCGATTCTCACTTCAACAAAACTGACTTGACCTCGTCCTCAAGTCTCCTGTCCGGGACGGCAGAATACCTAGATCTAGATCTAGGCCTACCTCAAGATCTAGTCAAGTAAAGTCCCTACAAACCTTAGCGATAGAAGCCGCAATACATCATGTTCATTTGTGTTTTTAAAAATTCGTAAAAGTAAATAGATCTAGATTTAGATCTAGATCTCTAGATCTACATGAAAGTTGCGTTCACCGTTGGAGACGCATAGACTGCCATAGATCTATTTGCGCACTTGGACTTGGACTTGTGCATCCAGTCAGCAGAGTTCCACAAAGTATGTTAATATTTTTGTAGCCTACCATTTACTTTAGGGTAGGTTGGTGAAAATTTGACCATGGGGCAACTCCGGCAGCCTCAACCTAGACTTGGCTTTGGGAAGATTGAAGAATACCGGACCACCACTCGTACATTATTGTGCAAGAAAGTGGGGTAGGTGGGGCGGGTGGTTGGGGTGGAGGAGGGGGGTTCAGGGGGGTCTCCCCCCTGACAAAATTTTAATAAATAGACCTACCGGTTCGAGATTCTCCATTGAGAGATATTAAAAACAGGAAAATTATGAATTGAGACATAGGCAAAGTCAGTCCGCTGGTCCGGTATTCTTCAATCTTACCCTTGGCTTTTGAGAAGGCCAC